TAAACATAAATCTTCGTATAACCCACTCTGGTTATTGGTTTAATCAGTTGGTCCATATAGAGTGGCTTACCAGTACTGCTTTACAATTCGTCCCAAACCCTCCTTCGACGTGAGCTCCGCAGGTAGACCCGAGAGTTCGGCCCAAATTGGAACAACAGTGTTGTCAATCTTCAAAGCTTGGATACCTAGTGTTACGTGGATTTCTCCGCATAACATCATCGTCGTGATAAAACAAATAAAAGCAAAGGAACCGAAAGAACTAATTTAGGGTTTTCATCAAGCATGTCCACTTATTACCACCGATCAACTATTTATAACGAAAGCAACAACATAATCAAAAACCGACAAGGATTATACCAACAAACCAAAACTAATACATAAAAGGAATAATGAACTAATCAAGGAACTTTGGGTTGGGCTTGGGAGGGCGACTGGACCGACGTGGACTCGCCGACGTAATCGTAACATCCTCCCTCCCCCCCTCTTGAACAAAAACCTTGTCTCCAAGGTTGAATTCAGGAAACCACACTCGAAGCTCGACCTCCTCTTCCCAAGTAGCATCTTCTAACATAGTTGCTTCCATTTGACCAAGTATTCCACGACTTCACGTTGTCCTTTCTTTGCATGTTGGAACACCAAAACAACCTCGGGAGAAGCTCCAGTTCTCCATTAGCATAACCCACAGGTGGTTCAACCGTTCCCACATATGGTATGAGAAGAGACATGTGAAAGGTGGAGTTTACCCTTGCTCCCTCGAGCAACTTTAATTTATACTCTACTTCCCCCACCTTGGCTTCGATCGGATATGGCCATAAATACTTTGCGCCCAACTTTTGCGAGGCTCTTCAAAATAGTATTGATTGCCGATAGGGGTGAAGTTTCAAAAGCACCAAGTTACCTACCCAAATTTTGGGATCCCTATGCTTTTCATCTTGGTATTGTTTCATTTGGTTATTGGCGGCGCCAAGATTAACCCTGAGCTGGCGTAGCGCCTCGTCTCTCTCCCTCAACATTTGATCCACCGCGTCGGCAGAACTTCGCTGCCGTGTGTAAGGAATGATGCTCTGTTGATCTCTCCCATAAAGCGCGCGAAAAGGATTCATCCTGATGTTCAAATGGTACGTAGTGTTATACCATAGTTCAGCCCACGGGAAGAGAGCCAACCACCGTTGTGGCTGCTGCTGGGTAAAACAATGCAAATATTGCTCCAATCATTGATTTGTCCGATCCATCTGACCATCCGTCTGTGGGTGGTATGTCGTGCTCATGCACAGTTTGGTTCCCGACTGCGCAAATAGCTCCCTCCAAAACACGACGTCTCAGTCACTAACGATGGAGGCGGGTATTCCATGATGTCGCACTACATACTTAACGAACTGATCTATGACTTGCTTAGCCGTATATGGATGCAATAGCGGAATGAAGTGACTGGCCTTCGTTAACCGATCCACAACAACCATCAGAACCATGTTTCCTTCCACCAGCGGCAAGCCTTCTACGAAGTCCTGGAAATAGTTTCCCAGATCTGTTGTAGCACCAGACGCTATTCCCCATTCCCGACAATAGAATTGACTTGCCACCTGCTTCAACGTTCACTCAACTCCCGATTGCCTCTCACGACAAATATGAAACTAGTGAAGCACTGTAGTGAACAAAGACGAGTAGGGAAGCACATAAATCTAGTTTTTGTAGAAAATCAACCCATGATGTAGGGTCAGATGTCCCGGCGTTCCCGACATGGCCTCGTCACGTAGCTTTTGGAGATAAGAATCTACTCAGCGTCTCCTATCTCATCCCATAGCGCATTATCTGGTTCGGAGATTCCTGCGCCTAGTCGTGCTCCCCCTTCGCACCTGGAGAGACCATCGGTGGCCTTGTTGACATTCCCAAATTTGGAATGAATTTCGTAATCTCCCTAGAAGCTTTGCCACCCATTTATGTTGCATCCGGAGTAGAGATTCGTTGGTCGAGCGATGCTTCAGGCTTCGTTGGTCAGTATAAATGTGGAACCGCTGCCCTAAAAAGTAAGGTCTCCCAAGTCTTTAACGCTGTCGTAATGTCCAACAACTCCCGTTGATACATGGACCATGACTCCTTAGAAGCACCGAGAGTTCGACTCATGAAGGCGATTGGGTAATGATTTTGTGATAAGATGATGACAATTCCTTTTCCTGATGCGTTGGTTTCAATATCAAAAGGTACGTTAAAATTGGCCATCGCCAAGGTTGGTGTTGATGTCATTGCCAACTTGAGTTCGCCAAAAGCCTTCTCCGCTGAATTATACCACTTGAACACGCCTTTCTTCAAGAGTTCTGTGAGGGGTTTAGCTATGGTACTGTAATGCTTCACAAATTTCCTATAGTAACCCATTAGCCCCAAAAACACTCTCAAAGTCTTGATACTTGTAGGAGTCGGCCAATCTAGCATCTCATGTACCTTGCTCAGATCAGCCCGCACGGTCAAAGTACTCTACCTCTCTTTCTCTAAACATACACTTAGAAGCTTTGAGGTAATATTGGTTCTGGCGTAGAATGCGAAATACCTCGCCCAAATGCTCCTTGTGTGATTTGAGCTCCTCACTATACACAAGGATGTCGTCAAAAAATATCAAAATCGACTGTCGCAGTAATGGCCTGAATATGTCATCACCGTGGCTTGGAACGTTGATGGCACATTGCATAACCCAAAGGGCATCATGAGGTATTTGTAGTGGCTGTTGTGGGTTCGTAATGCGGCCTTCTGAACATCCTCCTCGCCCATGCGAATAAAGTGATAAACTGCGCGCAGATCAATCTTAGTGAAGTATTTGGCCCTATGCAATTCGTCCAACATGTTGTCGACCGTCGGGATTGGGAATCGGTCCTTCATGGTGGCCTCGTTCAACACACGATAGTCAGTACAGAAACTCCACGTTCCGTCCCTTTTCTTCACCAACAGTACTAGGGACGAAAAAGGGCTCGTACTGGGTCGGATGAGGCCTCTCCCACGTCCTCAAGCATAACTAATTATTGTGATAGTGCTAGGGTCCTCCTTCGAAAACCCAGCTGCAAGTCTCTGGCGAGTGAAACTGAAAAAGCACGAGTCTATCCTCCAGCCACGAGACTTTGGTCTCTCCATCCCGCCCCACAACCAATTTGCTCAAAAGTGAAGGGTCGAGAGGGGTAGCGGTGAGGCTGGGAATGGATCGACCAGGATATTCTCCCATCTACGAGCTCCATCCTCAATCGCTGATTTGGGAATTCATAGAGACTATTGATGAACTCTTGTTCGAAATACTCTAACCTAGTGTCCTCGGCCACCCCAAACAAGGATACCCACGACCGCCATCGGAAACGAAACTCGAAACCCTAGTTTTCATTAAGCCTGACAATCGATTTCCCAGTATTCAGTTTAACCGGTAAGTGTACTAGTAACGGCGGCTGCCAGTATAACGAATATCGACCGGTTTCGGTTGTCGACGACGACAAAGAGCTCCGATGTATACCGACATGGATGGTTATCTAGTTAAATCAAATACCGTTAATAAAGGGAAATTCGCGAAACGGTGGAACTGCGGAAGTAAACGCAGCAGCAGTGAAGTCGAGCAGCAACAAAGATTGGAAGTTCCAACAGAGCAGCCGTCCAGGAGCATTTCTCCCCCTCCGCTATGGTTAGTCGGTATAACCGGTTTGTAACGGTTAATAGGCTATCTGGTTACCGTTCAACCGGTTACAAACTGCTACGATATTCGAAATCCTCCTCGCCTCTAACTTTATACCGAATACCGGTGGGTCGGTTACCGATTAAGTTGATAACCAAACGATTACCACCCCTAGTTTTCATATAGAATAGAAGAGAGAGTGTAGGGAATCTAGAAATATGATGAGCCTTTTACATGGCAAGGCATGTCGATTTGTTGCTGACGTGTGCGTCGATTCTAACACCGTGAAAGTTTGAAACATATATGCTAGATTTGTCAAATTACCATCCAAAATCTAGCTATTTTTTTGTATTTATCAAAAAATAGTTATTAGCATCAGAAAATCGGTGTGATGCCAATGAATTTGCCAAGTGTTAGTAAAGATACTACTCGAGTGAAATCTTCCTCTAGTGACTCTTTAGGATCTCACTTTATTCACTGTACCTATTTCCTGAATATATTTTCCATTTTCAACATTTCATAACCAATTTGGAACATTTTTTTCCCGCACATGATAAATACACTCACCTAACAAATTTGGTCCAACAAATAACCCAGCTATTCCACTCTCAATGATGAAGATTGAGAAATGAATTAGTTTTTTATTTCGATTGTGGAAAAAAAAGCTATTTCACTCTGAATCTTCCTCATCTCTTCAACAAATCCCAGCGTGCTCAGCTGCCTCAGCGTATGGAGGACAACCACAACTGTGCAAACGAGCGCTCTATTTCTCTATCAATAAATGCAGAAAACAAGAACCCACCACACCAGTAGTAAGGTATTAAGATTCAGAATTTCTCACTCACCAAATCACCCACAAGGGCGAAAAATTACATTTCCTTCAGAATTCCACTCCTGTGGACTGGTCTCCACATTTTAGTCTTTAATCTATTGTTATGCCATCTACCAAACTAACAAGCATAAAAGCATATCTTCCTCACACAATTCACACGCGCAAATCACTCCCAATTTCCACCAACACTCATCCAAAGAACCAGTACCTGTTAGGAAGAACACTACACATTCCCTCTGTTCTCCCATAACCCAATCTACTTCACACCATCAACCACTACAGAAACCCTCTCACCTAACAAACCCTAAAATGAAAATAGTGATATACAAACTTCACACCATGATAGTAAGTAGTTAGCCCTACTGAGCCAGCTGCCATAAACTGTTGATCGCCAACAAACAAAGAAACGGTTGTGGGCAGATTACTGGATGCCCGAATATGACGACTTTTGCTGGTTAGATCCATCATAACCAACAAAAAGATGGCACTGTACTATACATCATGCACGCATCAGCTAACATGGGACAGCTACGTCTCTACTTCCTTCTTTTTCGACCTTGTCCTCCTCCCGACGTTTTCTCTGTCCTCGCTGACATCAGATGGTGCCAACCCAGATTCTTCTTCCGTCGCGCTACCCTTTTGGTCTGCATCATCTTCTTTAGGCTGCAAAATCGAAAAGGAACAGACTTCTGAACTGCAACGAAGAACGAAATAAAAGGAAAAGAAGCGGAAAGGATCTGGAAGATCAACGAGAAGCAGCAATGCACAGCAGTGACCATCACCAACTAGGTTTCAGAAGGGAGCAACAGACCAATTAGAGAGTGAGGAACAGGATACACAAATTTATGCTATTAGATTGAACAGAAAGCATAACAAGAGATTGAGTAGATTGTACTACTTACAAGGGCTGGAAGCTACCAAACTAATATCTAACGAGCATCAAACCACTGATGTAATGAATACTTTTCAAGAAAAGAAGAAAGACTCTTCAAAGAAGTCCCCACAGTCGTTTTCCTGACCAAACTAAAAGGGGACCCCTGAATCTGAAAAGGAGCAAAACAGACGCATACTATTCCAGGGCAACCCTATTGGGAACAGGATAAATAGCCACCACTTTAAACCAAGAGCAAGAACAAAGAATAAAAGCTAGGCATAGAAGAACACAAGTCGACCTTGCATATCCAATAATTGAAGTTGGCAACGTTCTCTGTCAGCTAAATAACAATTCTCATAGATTGTAAGAAGCAGAGAATGAACTGATAGCACACCCAAATTTATAAGAAAAATTCTAACCTAAGCAACTATAATAGACACCCAGAGCAAGCAACAGTCAAGTATCTAATCTTAGCAAACCTTTCACTAACCAAAACTAAGGGTACAGGACAGATTGGCCCCATCCAGAGACATGTAACCTGGAAATTACTTCTGACAAAACATGTCCAAATCAGATGGTATAACATGTACAAAACACAATTATTATATTGATTAATCATAACCGGGACAGTAATTTACAACCACAAAGAAGAAAGTTAATCCCGAATCAGATTTGGCATGTTACATTTACCTGAGGTTGCTCAATATGATCTCTAGCACTTTTCAAGTGGTCATCCTCCGATATTTTGGACACAACAATTGTGTTTTCATCTTGAATAATATTCTGCTCTGGAGGAATTTCAACATCCTTGAGGTGTTCTAGAAGCTCTACATCAGCAAAATCCTGTCCCTTGGTCAAATCAACCGTCACTTCAGAAATATTGATGAGTTTCTCAACGATAATCGTATCTTCAGCACATCCTTCAGTAGTGTACAGATCATTTGGTTCACTTGCTTGATTTGAGGTCATACTGGACAGTAACCATTAAAATACTCAGAAGAATGAAAGCATTTCCCATAAAATTATTGTGTAAATAAGAAAACTATGATAGACGAAAAGGAACTTACCCATTGGTAATGAGATCCTTTGGTGGGTCAACTTCAAGAACCTGTTCCTGCCGTTGTTTCTTACTAATCTGGCTCTGGCTTGATGCTGGATCAACAGACTTTTGCAGACGAATGTCACTTATTCTTCTTTTCCTTCCAACCTTAAGCACAGAGGGAACTTCCACAATCACTTTTGGTTCATCATCTTTCATGGATAATCCAGTAGCTGTAACAGCCCTACTCTTCTCTTCACTCTTCAAGGTCTTCTCAAGAGAATTCTTGAAAATAACATCAGTGCAACGCTTTATCCAAGAGAAACGAGCAGGACTCACTGGTGAAGAAAAACTTTTGTTTGGAACTGCAGGGGATCCATTATTCACAGCAACAAGACCCAAATCAGTATCCTGTATGGCAGCATGTTGCTTCACATACTTCATTTCAGAAAGCTTCCGCTGGCTACGCTCAATGCTTGACAATTGCATCTGAGCAACTTCCATGTTATCCAAGTTAATTTTCACATCCTCCAACTTCTTCAAATCCTCAATTTGAGTACAGATCTCTTGCCTCTCTGCATGTAATAGTTCCCTCTGTTTTTCTAATCTTTCAGTTTGACTCTTGAGTTCCTCAATTGAACTATTCAATACCTCCCACTCTTTCTCTATCTGTTCACGATCTCCAAGCACCTCTTGTCTTTTAGCATCAAGCTTCTCCCTCTCCGCGGCCACTTGTTTCAATTCTTTCTCAATCTTTTCTTTAAGAGAGCATATGTAATCCATCTCGTTTGTCTTCTCTAGCTCAAAAGCTTTTTCCTTGTCTCTAAGATAACTCTCGACTTCTTCGCGTCTTTTTTCAATGCTGCTTTCCAGCTCTCTTTTCCGCACCTCAATTCCCAACAAGAAATCTGCATGCTCCTTTTGAATGTTATTGAACAACTCAGAGCGCTCCTGCATCATCTTATTCATAAACTCCTCCCGCTCACTGTTCAACAGTTCAACATCACGCTTATGTTGATCACGAATCTCTTCCTTCTCTAATCTTAAGCTATCACGCTCATCCTTGATAAAATTTGAAATAGCTTCCCTCTCTTCTGCCATATGTTCGGCTTCTTTGCGCAGCTCCTCTCTCTTTTCATCAAGTAACTCCCACTCAGCTTCAAATTTGGACTTCTCCACTTTTAGTCTCTCTTCTTCAGCCAGAAGTTTCACTTTCTCGGCTCTCACAAGGTCAACTTCTTCTTTAAGTTTCATTTCCAGATCCGACAGCTCATTTGTTTCACTTTTCATTGTCTCCAATTTCTCCTTTGCACTATCAACTTGTATCCTTTTGTCCTCCAAAGAAATCAAAGACTCCTGAAGCTCCAGTTTGATTCTTTTGATGTCTTCTGTTTCTTTCTGTAATAGGGTTCTCCTCATCTCTATATCCTTATCAGCATCATCTAGCCTCTTTTCTCTATCTTCAAGGAAGCTCATCTTTTCTGCTACATCCTTCTCCTTATCTGCCAGGCCTCTGGATCGAGCATCCAACTCATGTTCCTTCTCTCGTAACTCATCTTCGCGTTGATTGAGGTCAACCTCTCTCAACTCCCAAGCCCTTCTTTTTGATTCAAGGTCATCTTCGAACTCCTTACCTCGCATTTGTAATTCAGCTTCCAATTCCGACTTTCTAGCCCTCAAAATTGCTTCATGATCAGCAGTGACCTTTCCTATTACGGCCTACAATATAATGCACAAAAAGAAATCATATACACATGTTTGTTTTTGCATAACCCATAGTTTCCTAAGGGCCATGGAATATTATCTCTGGAAGATGAAGCTACAGGATACTCACTGATTCCTTGCTTGCAATTTTTTCCTGCATAACAAGTAGATCTTGCTCTCTCTTGTTCAACAGGATTTCCTTGTCAACAAGTGCCTGCATAAAGTGAAAAGAAAAAAAAATCAAACACAATAATTTTCACAAGTCATCAGTCTACGGATTGGAAACCTCAAGTCTATGCTCCAGCCACTTGAAAAACTAACCTGTTCTCGTTGAGATAGAGAAGCTCTTGTCAAGTCCAAGTTAGACTTCTCACCAGTAAGATCTCTACGTTCTTTCTCAATACTGGCCCTTGAAATTTCCAAATCATTTTCCATCCGGCTAAGTTCTTTAGATTTGCTAGCAATGTAATCCTCCCTCTGGTTAAACAATGCTTGTCCATTGAGCAATCTTTCATGTTCCTGTTGAAGACCCTTCCTCCTTTCACTCAGGTGCTGTCTCTCAAGATCAATTTCCCTCTCCCTTGCGCTGCACCTAAGACACCAAAAAACAGACGAATAGAAAATTGGAAAATCATCCATATATGGCCAACCTTGGTAGACCTCACATTACAACAATTGTATAGGCAAATTAATAGCACTAAACTCAAACATCAGCTGGCAATTTTTGTAGAAGTGCACATTATTATTATTAGGTTTAAGAGAAAGATCTGGTCGCCTGACCATTATTCAGTACATTGAAATGAAAATATTAAGAATAAATAGCCTGGGTCACCTTAAAGTTAGTCAGTTGAGGAATATCAAGAGACAAGTAGAAAGAGCAGACATTAAATGAAACAGCGTGACAAGGGGAAAGGATGCACAGAACCATACTCAGTTTTCAAGTCACTCAAACGCCTAGAAAGATCTCTTTCACGTGCTTCAACTTCCTGGAGTTTTCTCTCAGCAGCTCGCTTACTACACTTGGCTTCAACTTGTAAAGAGTCTGCTGTTCGCAATTTTTCCTCTGCATCTGCAATTTTTTTCTGTGCTTCTTCTGCCATACTGCGTGCTTCAACCAATTTAGATTCAGCTGCAACCTTGGTTTCTGCAGATTCTGCACGCATTTCATGCAGGGTCTTCTCCAACTACAAACATCAAGTTGAGCCCATAAGAACGCGAAATAAACAAGTAACAAAATATAAAATGAAAACTAAGGTTACTTAAGGTGTGAAGAAAGGAGCATGACATTACACTAGCTATACACTCTTTCTCAACTCCTATAGCCTTCCTCAGACTTTGTTCTCTCTTCTTTGCCTCCGCCAAGGCAGATGCATGAGCTGCTTGGTCACGTTTTCGCAAGAGTTCAGAAGCTTCAGCAGCAGCTTCCATTTGTGCATGTTTTTCAGCAGATTCCTTCCTCTCCAACAGTAGAAGACCCATGTGATGCTGAAGATCAAAGATCTGTGAAAATCAAAGATATTTAAGCCAACAAGATCTGATAGGCTACATATTTTAATCATACTTGAAGAAGACAAATGTACATAACCATTGAAGGGACCTCTGCTATTTCTAATTCAAGTAAATTTCATGCTTTGAGTTACAGGGAAGATGTCCACTTCAAAAGTATCAAGATTTCAATTAATACAAGATGTTGTACTTAACCTTGATTATCAAAACCACAAGGGGAAATACACTAACACATAAAAAATGACAGTAAGACATCAGCCCCCTTTTCCTAGAACTCTATTTCAAGTACTTCAACCAAACTAGGTTCACACCCTCGCCACAGATTTCAGGTCTAACATCATTCCCAAACAGATAACCTCAACTCAGCACCAAGCATGACCAAGCATTAGTTACTCTACAGCTTTATTAGTTGTCTAAGAAAGACACCTACAAATGTCATTCAATTTTTAACCATAACGAGAACCCAAAGAGTCCACAATGGAATCAACATGAAGACTTCCCTTATTAACAATGCTAGTATTGATTACGGCAACCCATACAACCAAAGGCATCATTAAACTAACTTCAGCAACTCAAAGAAATAGTAGGTTCAGTGTAACACCCATAAAGCAATGCTTCCCAGTGACCATGGCATACCCCAAACCAAAAGGCCTAATCTTCAGTCGACGACCTAAACGTCCTAGCAGAAAAACTGGAAATCGATCACTACAGTAGTTCGATTCGCAAAGTCCAGCTACTCTTTCCAAGTTTTCTCAAAAACCCATTAACAATGGACCACGGAAATAACCCTAAAGAAGAAGATAAATTGAGCGCTAAAGCTCAGAGCCAGGCGACAACAAATTCTGGAGCAAAAGATACGAAAATTTGCCAAAAACAGAGCAGAACAAACCTCAGTTTCAAGCTTTGTGATATAAGAAATCAGAGCAGCCTTGTCTCTACTCTTAATGGACTCCTCGTTCAACCCGGCATCCTTAAGCCGCTTCCAGATCGTGGAATCATCGCTAACCCGCGTCGGCAAAACCCTCGCGCCGGGCGTCAACGACAAAGCCCTACTACTGGTACTTGGCATAATCGGGCTTGCCATCGCCGGAATCCAATCGGACAATTGACCAAAATACCCTGCCGCCAATAATGCTCAACGCCTCAACCTTCTGGGAAGCTCCTCGAAATTTTGCTTCTTTTTCCCGTCTCTGCTTTCCCGACTCACGCTTTCTTCTTCTGGGTTTTCTCTCTCTTTCTTTCCTCTCTTTTTTCTTCTCCTTTAGTCCTTTTACCTCTTCAGTAGAGTTGCGCGTTAGTGACCTGAGTTAGTGGCCGAGTCGGCGCTGAATCATCGGGGACGGAGAGGGAGCGCTGCAAAGTGCACTGGAGTCTGGACTTTTAAAGTAAATAAAATAGTAAAAAATCCAGTTGGCGAGTTTTTTGAAGCGATTTAGAATGGGACTGTCCGGTACACGGCGTCGTTTAGGGGAGCGTCCTTGTGATTTAATTTCTCAGCTTCTTTGCTTTGTTTGATTTTTGTTTTCTTTTTTTTTTACTGGAACCCGTTAAACTTTATATTTTTTTTTTCTTTCTTGATAAAAGCTTCCTTGAGGAAGTTTGAAAGTTGTGATTTTTCAAATTGATGTATTGAGTGAATTAGCGTATTATTATTTGATGTATTTTATATTAATTGATGTATTAGGAAAATATCTTGTTTTGTAGTTTAGATTGTGTTTTTGTTGTAAGCAACAAAAATTAATTTTAAGTGATTGTGAAGACTTTCTACTTTGTTGATATTGATAATCTCTCAATTTTTTGAGTGATTGTGGTGGGACCTCAAAAAAGTTAGTGCATGTATTCTAGTTCAATATAAGAGGGAAAAAAAATTGAATTAGCTCAATACACCATTTGAAATCACAAGTTCCAACCACTCTTTGATTTCTCAGCTTTTTTTTGTTTAGTGCGTTTAGACTATCTCCAATCAAAGCATGCAAATTTGGAGAAAGGGAGGTTTTTGGCTTTTTTCATCTCCAACCCACCAATTATTTGGCTTGCAAATTTGGAGAAGTGGGCTTGGGGGTGGATAGATAGAAGCTCATATGGAGAAATGCAAGGAGAAAGTGGGGGACCAACCATGGAACAAAAGCCCACACGCTGGGCCCCTCCACTTTCCAACATCTTCTTTTTCTTTTTCTTTTTTAACTTTCTTAATTTTGGATTGGTTGGTTATGAGTTGGGAAGGCAAATTTAGAAGGTTTAGGGTTGGAGCAAAAAAGTATTTTTGGAAGGTAAAAATGCATATTTGAGAGCTTGAGAGGCTAAATATAACCTTTTGGGTTGGAGTTAGTCTTAGAGGAAAAAATCCAAAACTACCACTATAAAAAATTACAAAAATACCACACATACTCAACAATTTCCAAAAATACCACCCTTCCACACAAAACGCGCCTCGAAGGCGCGGTTCTAAATCAAAACGCGCCTCGAAGGCGCGGTTCACAGTCAAACCGCGCATTCAAGAGGCGGTTTGACCCTTTATGTTTGTCAAACCGCGTCGCCACGTGGCGGCCCATGCGACCGCGCGATGGGGAGGCGATCTGACGGCCAAACCGCGTGCCAGCTCAGCGATCCGCGTCGCTCAGTCAAACCGTTGCCCCGAGGCACGGTTTGCGCATTGGGGAACGTAAATCGCACGCTGGAGGCGTGGTTTTAAGTGGGGTAAAAAGATGAAACCGCCCCTCCAGCATGCAGTTTCGTCCCTATATAAACCCCACCCCTTCCCATTTTCTCCACACCAAAACCCACATTCCCCCTCTCTCTCTCTAACTCCTCACTCTACCCACCCCCTCTCCATCCAAAAACCTTAGGGGTAGTTTGGATGGATCAATTGTAAAACGAGACAATTTGACCAATTGTTTCTTTTTACAAAACGAGTCATTTAAAACGAGTCAATTCAGATTACCTGCCCCCACCCCAGACAATTGTAATTGGCTCAAAATGAGTCAATTCAGAATTCCCCAGCCCAAATTGCTTCATCCAAATTTTCTGCTGCCAAACGGATCAATCTAGCACAATTGACTCAAAACGAGACAATTGTGTCAGATTAATCTATTAGAATTCCTCATCCAAACGACCCCTAAGAATTAGTTGTTTTGTTGGTTGCGGCTAAGTCCGATCTGCCTTCAAAATACTTTTTCTTTGGTTTTCACTAAAAAACAGTTGAATCTCTGTCCGAATTCTGAAAAAATGGTTGATTTTATCCAAGAAGAGGGTATTTACTATGATTATTATCAAGCGGTACGTACTCATTTTACCCAATTGTTGTTGTTATAATGATTTATTTAATTTATATACTAATTGATTTATTTTGTTGTTATGCTATCGTAGGTTGGGCCGGATGTTGATATATACAATCACGATATTATGTTGATCAAGGACCGATTGATCCGACTATTTTATACGATCAAGCCAATCATCGTTCAAGAGACGTTTGGAACGACCCCAAGGTACATATTATTTATCATCACTTGTAATTTGTATTTTGTTAAAGTAATTTATTTGTTTGTACAATAATTTAGTTACTTGTTAATCGTATTGATTATTTTCAATAATTTAAATCAATACAATACAACACTTATTTATACTCTTTTAAAAGAAATGCATGTCTAAGGAAATGGGGTCTTAAGCGATCATCATGATCCCCCCATGACCTGGGAAAATCGGGTTCTAAGCGATCCTCGGATCCTCCCTTTTTCTGTCAAAAAGACTGTGTTTCTAAGGAGATGTATACCTCTCCTAAGAGTCTTACGAGTGTACTTCTATTGCTTTAAATTATTGAAAATAATCAATACGATTAACAAAATAATATATTTGATTTTATGTGTACAAAAAAATAATTGTACTTAAATTTTGAAAATTATTTTAGTTATGTTAAAATTAATGTTTATTAGATAATGTATATTTCTCTAAAAGAACCTTGATTTAATTAATATTGCATCTTATAATATATTTATATACGTATAAATCATCAATTCTTCTCTAGGATGCATACCATATAGTCCGCTATAGGGGCACGACGAATGTGCTTGAATGGAACGACGTCATCTTGCCCTTTCTAAAAAGGGCAAGATTGAATTCGATTAGGCACTTTAATGGAATCAAGATCGACTGCCAACTCATCACAAGACCCCAGATTGGCAGATGCAGAGGCGCCAATACACGGAGCAACATCGCCAGGTAATCCCGCAGAACAGACCTCCATTTAATGACTATGAGAATGATTATTATGAGTATGGAGGAAGACCACCGGAAGCAGGAGGTTATGGCGTTGAACCGATTCGAGTGATTAAGCTCTCAATCCCCTCGTTTCAAGGCACTATTAGTTCATCAGCTAACCTCGATTGGGAGAGGAAGATAATTATGTTTTTCCAGTGCAATCCTTACTCAGAGCATAATAAAGTTATTGTAGCCACCTATGAGTTTATAAATTATGCAGTAGTTTGGTGGGAAAAGATTCAACAACGGTGAAGGAGGAATCTGCAGCATGAAGTTTCTACTTGGGCAGAACTTCGAAACCTGATGCGTGATCGGTTTGACAACCTTTCTATCAGAGAGATCTCTATGATGTCTTGCAGGGAATTCGGCAAGAAACTCGCTTTGTGATGAGTACTTCAAGGGGCTGGAATTGCTCATGATGAGAGCATATGTGAGAAAAGACAAGGAAGCAATGATTGCTTGCTTTCTGCATGGACTCAACAGGGAAATCAAGAATGAAGTGGAGCTTCGTCAGTTTGTGGAGTTGGAGGAAGCGTTGCATTTGACCATGAAGGTAGAGAGGCAGTTGAAGGTGAGCTCGGGAAGAAGGTACACACCTTCATCCAAACCTGTTGCAGAGAACCTTCCTTAGGCTAACATGAATCACCCTAAACCAGAAGGTGACAAGCCAGCTACCAGGAACAAAGCGCGAGTCATTCAATCCAGAAATGAAGGCTCAACTAGAAGCATTCAATGTTTCAAGTGCTTTGGTCGAGGTCACAAGGCTAACCAGTGTCCCAACAATAAGACTCTTGTCTTGCGAGATGGAGAGTACTTTTCTGAGGAGGAGTATGAAGAGAAGCCCATGGGGGAATGGATTCGGTTCTGATTTTGATTCTGAAGATGATGATGTGGATGAGGACATCAAGGCTGAGAAACCTCCAACAGGTAAACTTCTTGGAGTGAACCGTCGAGCTTTATCTATTGAAGCTTACATAGAGACAGAGTAGAGGGGTAATCTCTTTCACTCTCGTTGCCTGGTCGATGGGAAGGTGCTGTCTGTGGTAATCGATGGTGGTAGCTGCACCAATGTGATTAGTCTGGATGTAATCAAGAAGCTGGGATTGGGCACCATCAAGCATCCTCAACCATACACTCTGCATTGGCTGAACGACTATGGGAACATCAAATCCAACAAGAAGGCCAAGGTTTGTTTTCAGTTCGGTGATTATGCAGATGAGATTTGATGTGATGTTGCTCCAATGTAGGCTGCTCATCTCTTATTGGGTCGTCCATGGCAATATAATCTGGGAGCTATTCATGATGGAAGACACAACAACTACCGGTTCAAGAGAGGCGACCGGAAGTTCTTGTTAAATCCATTGTCACCAACTGAAGTTCGGGAAGATCAACAACAGCTGTCCATGAACTGGGACAAGGAGAAAGGAAGTGCAAGTTGATCGAGGAATGTGTTAGGGTGGCAACTAAAATTTTAGTAGCCACCGTGGCTAAATCACTATCTGCCGTCCATTTTTCTTGTTTCCCTCTTTTTTTAAACTCACGGTTAATTTTGTTGCAGGGTAATTTTTTAAACAAAAAAGAGTCCACACCCGATTTTCTATATATTCTACCCAAACACTAATCTACCATACCCTTTAGCCGAACCCTAGGCGACGGATACCGACCCGCCCCCTCCCTTTCTCCTCCGCTGCCTTTTGATTCTCCTCCGTACAGCTTCCCTCCTCCCCTGCCTCTCTCCCCCACCTCCTCCTCCACAAACCCCCCCCACCCCCCCCCCCCCCCCCCTCCCCCACCTTCCCCTCTCTCCCCCACCCTACGCCCACCCCCTCC